AATTTTTACGAAAAACTTAATTTTAATGTCGAAAACAACATATTTTACGAAATGAGATATGTGTGCAGTCATCCATTACGCATCTAATGACGTATCGAACACCTCCTTACACCCCTCCCCTCTTGAGATATCCTCCGGACAGACAGACGGAAGTGGATGCAAAGTGGCACACACACAGACACTATTTTTTTATATATAGTAGGATAAGAAGTGAAATAATGTATAAATTTGTAAAATAAAATTGAAAAGATCACACTGCAAGCGGGGGAGTAAAACAAGCCGAAGCCCGCGAAAATCCCACAAGGGGGCTGAACTCGCAAGCGAGCGTAAAACCGACTGACTGTAACCCTCTTATGTTGACCGTGGGATTTCGTTATGCGAGATAGCACATCTTGTGCAGAATTTTTCGCTGATTCCGAATCCGTTTTCAAAAGTTGCGGAACCCCTCGGAAAACAGGTTAAAAATCGAATTTAAATTTGGGCGAATCTGGCCCATCGCGCCCCTGGGGAATCCAAAGAGGCTCCCCAACGCCACCCTCTCAGCAACTCGACGGTACAATGGTTAGGCGCTGGTTTCTTGAGCAGGCTGTCACTGGTTCGGCCCCCGCCGCGGTCTCTTTTTTTGCTTTTGCATTTTTTTGTGGGAAACTAGTGTGACGTTGTTCCGCAACACTGTGATATCGTTTTTAAAATGTCTTTTTCTATTTTCTTATAACAATAGATAAAGATTCACACCAGTTATTCTAGCCATCGCAAGCCAATTTGTACAGGGTGTCCCAAAATTATCCGGACAAGCTAAATTTGATTTTTGAGAAGCTTGAGCACGAGCAAGCATCGAAACACCTTGCCCAGTAATGGGATGGAAATCGGTATTAAACGGAAAAATGACCATTAACATGTCGGAATCTTGGCGGAGTTAGGTCCGTTTTGCCAGAAAACCTCATTTCTTGCCCGCAAAAACTTCTGAACACATTTGGAAAGTTTACCCTAGTTTTTATGTTATTTATGAATATATATGATTACAATATTATACTATACGATATTATATTATGAAATACAATTCGGGGGCCGAAAACAGCGGAAAAATTGAAAAAGTCAGTTTTCAGTTTTGTCCGGATAATTTTGGGACGCCCTGTAGTTCCCGACGACATTCGCATAAAGCAATTTAGAAAAGGCAATTGTAAAAAAGATATCACAGTGTTGCGGAACAGCGTCACACTAGTTTCCGATAAAAAAAATGCAAAAGCAAAAAAAGAGACCGCGGCGGGGGCCGAACCAGTGACAGCCTGCTCAAGAAACCAGCGCCTAACCATTGTACCGTCGAGTTGCTGAGAGGGTGGCGTTGGGGAGCCTCTTTGGATTCCCCAGGGGCGCGATGGGCCAGATTCGCCCAAATTTAAATTCGATTTTTAACCTGTTTTCCGAGGGGTTCCGCAACTTTTGAAAACGGATTCGGAATCAGCGAAAAATTCTGCACAAGATGTGCTATCTCGCATAACGAAATCCCACGGTCAACATAAGAGGGTTACAGTGAGCGGTTTGAACCAAACCACAAGGGGATGGCGGGTGCTCGAAGTAGAGCTGAAAGAAATATTAAAATTTTGGCCTGTTTCGACCCTGAACCAAGACAGGCGGAAGTAACATCAGGGTGGGTTGTGTGAAGAATAAAATAACATAGAATTGCGTAATTTGAAAAATATGGCGACTTGGGAGTCGATTGATAATTCTACAATTCCATCAGTCTACCCGAAGTCAAACCTGGGTGAGAACGAACCGGGCCTTGGTTCAGGCAAAATTGTCCTTCCTACCGTGTAGAGGACAAAGTCTGCTTGGTAGGGCGGATGGTGATACCTGCTATATGGTGCTACTTTGATGATGGTGATACTTTGGAGACTCACCAGAGCTACCATCTTTTAATCAAATCCTTTCGGAAACCGTATTGTTGGAATAGACAGATTACCCTCATCCTCATTTAATTTGCATTTTTTTTGATATCTTCTTTTATAAATTGATCCGCTAACGCAAGAAAGCGATCTTATCGTTTGTTCAAAGACAATTTTCAATGTTTGCACAATTCCCCTTATTATTGTCGTTAAACACAGCCCATTTCTTTCAACACTTTTCATTAATATTCCTTTTTTTACTTTTGGTAGCGGTCGGCAAAAGTGAAAACAATATCTGCCCGACTCGTTCATTAACATAAATATCTAATATCGCCTTCCCAAAGCCATATATTTCCATTTTCTACAGTAGGAAAGGGGCGGGATTTCATAGGCTGACGCGCCATTACTCTCTATAAAAGGCCAAGCTTCCACCGAGAAGTCATTCGATTCCACCATCCCTTTAAAATACCAACTCTAGGCCTTACTACCTCAGGTTTTTTTGAGGAATTGTTTTGTAGTTAAAATGGAAATTATGATTTCACTTTTTGGTGCGGCGACACATAATTTTGGATTAGTTGCTGAGAAATATGCCTTGGCGAATGATATCCTGTTGACTCTATTTTTTGATAATTTCAAAGCATATACAAAGAGTTGTCTGTATTTTCAGGATAGTTGTCGATAAGCGATGAAGGTGAAACGTTGGGCTCTGCTCAGTGGGACGTTGCTGTTCGCTTTGATGATTGGAGCCGAGACGGCGGGACAAACCGTGACCGGTGACGGGCACTCTTCGTCTCCTCCTACTTCCGAGACTCAGCTCGAATCCTCCGGGTTGGATCGAAACCTCAAGCTCGGTAGGTGGATTGTCTCGAAAAACCAAACAGGGTTTTGTTAGTGCTTTCCCGCCTCTGAATCAGCCCTCAAACGGAAGGCTCCAAGTTAGCGGGTTAACAAGGGACCTGTCATGGGTGCCCTCAAATTTTGCTATGGCACTTAAAGGGATACCGATGGCATCGGTCGATCACCCCTGATCGACTTTTTGGCACGAAGTCAACAGGGCAAAGAACGCGCGCAAGGGCGAGACGCAGAAACATTTTCTTTCCCTCGGGTCACCGATTACTTACAGTAGCGTGCAAAAAGAAGGCAACACCCAGGAAGCTCTTGTAACTCGGCTGCCTCGCTATATTTTGCACCAAATGGAATGTTTCCTAGTGTTTTCGATGCTGTAGAATTCGATGAGCAGGGTACCAAGCCGCGAAAATGACGTTTAGTAGCTTAAATATGGAATTTAAAATGGCTCGAAAAAATCGACTTTTTCTAAAGGCATTTTTCTGTTTCAAAAACATCACCATCGTGTTCAGCATGGTCGATTTACCCAAAGTCAGTGTCGTTTGTGATCGGGTTTGACTTGGCATAGCCGGGAAGCCGCGTTTTCTTTGCGCGAAACGGGTCAAGAAGTGGGTTCGCCTGGGGGAAAGGTATTGCAGGCGCCCCCATCAGACCGATGGCGGCACTTATTAATCGCAGCTTCCTAGCCGACTGAAGGCGTCCTAAGCAACCGGAAACATTGACTTTGGGTAAATCGACCATGCTGAACACGATGGTGATGTTTTTGAAACGGAAAAATGCCTTTAGAAAAAGTCGATTTTTTTTTGGAGCTATTTTAAATTGCATATTTAAGCTACTAAACGTCATTTTCGCCGCTTGGGACTTTGCTCATCGAATTCTGCAGCATCGAAAACACTAGGAAACATTCCGTATGGTGCAAAATATAACGAGGCAGCCGAGTTACAAAAGCTTCCTGGGTGTTGCCTTCTTTTCGCACGCTACTGTATGCCGTCGTTATCCCTTTAGCGGCGTAGAGCCAAAGCAAAGCTCCTTCGCAAAATTCTGCAGAAGTCTTGCAAGCAAGTGCACGAAATCCCATTTCGCAATAAAGTTGTTTGAAAAGCGCTTAAACAAGGATTTTAGTTCCCGCCTTTGTGCTCCCGCTGATCACCAAGGCCGCCAGCTTCTGCGGAGCCGCTTCGACGAAAGCGCTCCCTTTGATCTCGAAGGCCAAGGCCCTTTTTTCGGGGTCTTTTTCGGGGTCAAAAAGTCTCAGCTTCGTAAAAGACCTGGTGCCGGACGGGATCACCGACGCGCTGAATTTTCTTCCGAACGACTTCAAAAACCCACTGAATATCTTCAAAACATTTGGAAGCAAAATGCTCAACTACGCTGGGAGAATCTTTGAGCCGCTCGGGAAGAATTGTCGGACGCTTTTTCGGACGAAATTACAGGTGGGCTTGAATATGCCGCCTTTCAAAATTCCAATAGGCCGTTGTCCAACGGTCTTTGGTTTAAGCGTTGCATTAAGAAAGCTGTGTGAGAAATAATCTGTCCTGGGTAGACGCCGGTCACGGCGCAAATCTCGCAAACTTCAGGCTGCAACTAACCCAAACGCGCAGAAGAAAAAATGGTCTGATATCTATTCATAACAGACCTGAAAATGATATCAACTATAATAAATCAGTAGTGGTGTCCGTCTGTCCGTGCATCTGCAGCCAATTTCAACTCGAAGGGAAAAAAGCTAGAGCCTATGTCTCGTCGGATTTGAATAGAGCGGGGTCAGAAACCCCCAAACTAATAAAAGAATTATGAAAAAGTTTTAGTTTAAATTATTATTAAATTTTGAAAGTGGCGCCTTACTAAAACGAGTCGGGCCCCTCTCCCAGCAGGCCACGCCCCCATTCCCCCGCTTCTTTCACCAGGCCCCTTTCCGCGCCCGGTACGCTTTTTTGTGTGATTTTAATTATTTTAATTCATTATTTAAAGGGTTTAAAGTATCTGAAGCCATCAGGAAGGTATTAGGTAGTTTTTGGAGGAGATTTCGGCCATGGGGGGGGGGTATCTAAAGCCGTTGGCGTGGGTGTTGATGGAGGTATGGAAGGATGTGGTGGAGTAGGATATGTAGGGTAGCCCGAAGGCCAGATGGTTGCAATCGCGAAGCGACTGTAACCATCTGGCCTATTCATAACAGACCTAATCTGCATCCTATCTGTGCAGCAGCCTATTTTTCAGCCGTTTTCCGAAACCCTTTTGGCGACATCTACGTTGGCGAATCTGGTGCAAATCGAAATGTCACGGCTGCGTAACGATCTCAACGACCTGAAGAACATGGTTGAAGAGACGGTGTCGATACAAGAGTATACAACGGTTGGTGACCAGATTTTCCGAAATATTGGCGCTCTTCAAAAGGTTTGAGAGGGTGCGTGCCTAGTCTAAACTGACGCAATCCATATTATCCTTATTAAAGGTATTATATTAAACCTACAATATATAAAAATGAATTCCTGTATGTGTGTACATTTGCACGCAACTTCCATCAGTGTGTTCCCGTAGTATCTCAATGGTATCTCAATGGGGGAAGGCTTTTAAGATACGTATGACTCGTAAATAGGTGCGTAATGCCTCCGAGATGACTCTAAACATATAAGCTTTTGCAAATGATGCTATTTACGCCCATAAAACCACGCTTTATTAAAAAAACCGGCACCCTCTTCGTTAGTAAAAAATTAGCATGGACCGGAAGTGGAGATAGCCTAGATAATGGGACAAAGGAAAAAAATCGGGTGCTTCCGGGTTATCGGGGAGCGGTTGCGCACTTTTTTCTGTAATATCGTGCGGCTGGTCACGCTGGATCCTAATCGGATCCGGTCCGGCCCGGGGGTCTGTCCGGTCCGGTTCGGTCCGAAATTTCCATCCGGAGCGGACCGGACGGGACCGGACCGGACCTATCCGGTCCGTGGCGGGCCGAGGGGTTTTGATTTGCCAGGAGAAACGGAAATGCAACATGCAAATTCGGAATGCAAATGAGTGGCGTACCAAAAAATGACGCAATGTGGAATTCGCTTAATCAAAATGCATAAAATTATTCATTCCCCATTAATTTTTGGTTATTTACGCGACGGATAGTAGCCTAGATGTGGAAAAATATGTCAAATTTTTGGAGAGCAGCATTTTGCATACAAAATTTTCCATCTCCTTTTGCGTTCAAACCGGACCGGACCGGACCGCGGACCGTTCGCGGGCCGGGTTCTTTGTGAGCAACCCTGGGCTTGACTAATTATTTCTAGTCTTCGCTTTTTCTTTCTTTTCTAGACTTGTGCGCCTTTTGAAATGGTTCTGGCCTGTTAGCGGGGGAGGTGAAATTACGAAAAACGTCATAAAACATGTTGAAAAATCTCGCTTTTTCGGTCTAACGTATATGAAAATGGTTAAAACGCGCTATAACCCTAGATTTCGTGACTATTGGATAAATGTTTTTATAATTTTTGATTATTGGAAGCTACTAAAAACATTATTAAAATAAACTACCATTTATCATTGGGCGGGTATAGGCTAAACAAAAAGAAGATGCCAACCGCCCCCGCTAAAATAACCGCCTCCCGATAACCCGGAAGCACCAAAAATCGAAGATTCCTGAAATTCGGGTTCTGTTTGGCCGCGGAAATCATAACAATCTTAAAAACTCGATTTCCACCGAACCACTCCGAAAAAGGCAATTTTACAGGCTCTGGATGATAGGGGAATCAATGGTCCGAGTCACGGTCCTCACCGAAAGGCTATCACAATTATGGATTTTCAGAAAGTACTTCAACCGTTGTATCACGTGCAGCAGCGTATGCTATTCATCAACGACACGCAAGATGAAAAAGACCGAAAAATATTGGATGACCAGTTCACAGCGATCTGTGTTGCCGAATTTGAGGACCTGGTCACGGTAAGCAGTTTGCCTTGGATGATACGGGGTGTAAGGGAACAACCTCGCAAATTTCCGCAGATACGGCTATCTCGTTTTTTGATCGTTGGAGATTATAGCACTTCGAAAACAACGTATTGACCAACTGCAAAAACGTCAATAACGAGTTTGCCATTCGGTTGAGGGATACCTTGGCGGGGATCAAAGCACCAACTGACGAAAAAGGCCGAAAGCAGAAACAAGGTGCGTTTGATTCGTTAACCTCTGTGTGCTTTTCACAGCAAACAAACAACAAACTGGTTCATGGGCAAAACTAATCTATGGGAGGCCAGCTGGGTGTTTACTTGCTATATCGAGTTCTTGTCCAGCCCGAATTTCTTTGTTGGAAAATTTATCACGTAATAATCATGGCATTTCTCGCCTAAAAAACGCAATATACTATTAAAGGAAAAACGTTCTTGGTAATGTTCTATCTGGTCGGGGGCAAAAATCGACGCTGGGGGCAAATTAAGGAAATTTTTGCATAATTTTTTTTACTTATCATTATTCCGGGTTGAAATTCAAATTATTAGGATATTTTTTGACGCTCTAACGATCGGCGTTCAAGAAATCCGGTAATAATGACACGCTCCACTCCAGGTTTTTAGGTGGAAACGACGTTTAGATCTTTTTTGTCATAAATTTTATAGATTACGGTTTTTGGGCTACAAGTAAAAATCGTAGTATATTTTTAGCTAGCGTCTAGCGTCTCAACCCCATTTTCGGACGGTTTTTGCTGTTGCTATAACTTTTTTGTATAAGTTATTTTGGGCTTTAATTAAAGCACTGAGTAGATTTTTCGATGTTCTATCAAAACGCAAAGAGAAAAGGCCCGAAAATATGGGAAAACATAACCCCCCCGCCCCCTGCTGTTTTGCCCCCGGCGTAGATTTTTGCCCTCGGCTAAATAGAACTGTATCGCGGCCTTGATCGCAAAATGTCGAAATCCTCGATCTCATAAAAATATCGAGACCGTCTTTCCTCTAATATCACCCTTCGCCCATCCACCCTAGTACAACCCACGGCTCTCACACGGAGAGTGTTTTTTGTGTTTTTTAGTGACAATCGAGCTTCCGAACGCGACCAAGTGACAATCTTTTGCACTGAACGCGGCCTGTTTTCAAAAGCTGCGAAACGATCAGATTCAAAAAGTTAGGAAGGTTTGAAGTGCTATAAAGGCCCAAAACGGCCCAATTTCGGCATATTTACCCCCTTTTTTTTGCCCTGAAAAGCTTCATAACTTATTTAAACAGGCCGGGCTCGGAATCAGGGGACAATTCTGCGCAAGAAAGGCTCGGACTCGTACGGAAACTCGATTTTCACTAAATAACTCCTCCTCGTCAGAAAGAGTAAAAAATTCCACAAAAGGTAAAAAGAGGCTCTCATTGATTTGAAAACCTCAAATAAGAATGAAATAAACTAAGCAGAGGGCGGAGACGCAGAGACACAATTTTTGCCAGACTTCCCCCCCCCCTATTTCTAAAAGTTTTGCCCAGTTTAATTTTTTGTTTCCGCTTATACATACTTTGAAAATGGTTCCAGCGATCACGGATTACATGATCGGGTGGGAATCCAAAAAGGCAACACGCGTCCTCGATGAATTGAAACCGATTGCAGAAAAACACACGGCGATGAACTGGAAAACAGGTCAGGCTTTTAGCCTTCGGGCAAAACTGGTGAGGACAGCCAACAACGTAGGTCCTGCAATTTTCTGTTAGGCGAAGGCGGCTCTTTCGAAGCGAATTTTAAAGGGGCTCCGAAATCTGGTCCACGACCCCCTGCTGTGATTCCTGGCAAATAACCAGATGCGAACGCAACGCGACCGTGCCGCAGGATCCTTTGCCCCTGTTTGGACGCAAAAACGCTTGAATTTAAAAATTCTGAGACTATTTTTGGAATCCTCAACGAATTTTGATCATTGTAGATTTTTAAATTATGAAAATTGATCAGAGAATCACCGAGAGATTTGGTGCCTTATAAGGCATTACGACATGGAATTGCCGCGCACTCAATATGTTGTTTTCGCCCTAAAAAGAATTCGGTTTTTCTCAAACATGTTACGTTTTTTCGCAATCAAATCTCTTTTTAGCACTTCTCGGCAGTAACCTTTCGTTTTTTGACCCGTAGGTTCAATCCCCGCACGCACGAATTTTGACTTCTGAGCCCCTTTAAGCAAGGCTTTGCCAGCACTGTCCGCGACGACATGTGCGGGTCAATGCGGAGCGCATAGCTCTGCCTGCGTTTTCTTTTTGTTTTCGCCTCTTCGAGCTTTCTTGATTTACCGCGGTGCCCCCAACCACGATCCTCCTGGCTCGTCCAAGACGAACTTTAAAAAGCTCTTTCAATATGTGACTTACAAGGAGTCATTTTTAGGCGCTTTTGTAGTTTCCGGACGGGACCTAGCTCGTTCGATGGAAACGAAAATTCGGGGCAGGATTCCGTTTTAAAAAACGAAGATCGATAGAACTAATTAGAAAATTGAATTTAAGTAAAAATGTTCCCGGTAAAGCGACCGCTGAGATAATTTGCGGCGTCAGCCGCCCCTGCCACATCGGCCCCCGCGCGTCCCGATCCAATCCTAGCCAGCGCGTTAGCCTCTGAAGTTTTTTTGACTTTTTGTCTCAAGTTTGTTTCCTATTTCATGTAAACATTTGGCTTTTTTGCTAAATGAAATTGAATGCGCCCTGGTGCAAGGACCAAAAGTAAAAAGGCCTAGCCAGCGCGAAGGTTCGAAGGTTCTATCGCGAAAATCCAAAAGCACTTAAGACTGACTCCTTGCTAGCAAAATGAGGATTGCGCACGCGATTAATTAGGCGCCTTATTCCCCACGTTTTTTATTCAGGGCCTTTAGAGGAAACCTGGGAACGGCTTCACGAGGTTGTACAAAAAGCGGCCGATGATGGCGGGAGACCAAAGTCGCCAATCGGGTAAATCGGAATCTGACGGGTGAAAGTTGTAAAATATTTCGTACTGGATCAAGCATCAATCGAAAGCACTCGACGAGCTTAGGAGATGTGCGTATGTGAAAAAATTCTGTAAAATTTGCCCTTTGTTTTGCCGCCCAATGTTTGAAAGCGCTTTTGGAATGAAACGAAATGAAAAAGGCCGCAATTCAACCAAAAAGATTCTAAAAACACAAAGAACATCCCCCGAGTCATCGAGAGCTTTCCGGTTGATACGGAAATCGTAAAAATCGCACACTACCGCGGACCGCTACAGGAGGGTTTGTTTTGGCACAGCTGTGTAGACAACGCTGCCGAAAAACATGACGACTGCTGGCGGCTCGGGTATACGCTAGATTTGGAACATTTCCAGATTTCAAAAGTAACTTTTCGGCCTAGTTGAGATTTTCAATCAGCCAGCCATTTCTGTTCGATGCCGCGGAAAGGTCTTAGTCTAGGTGCGTCACCCTGACAGTGCTGTACACCAGAGATTATGGCCAGGATGCCATGACAGCATGGCTCGATTCCATCCGGTCAACAATGGTTACGATCGTGAGTAAATTACTTTTAACGCATGCAGTGAGCGCAGTAAAGGCGCAACTAGGCAAAAGCACCCAACCACGTCGACGACATTGATATGAATATTTAGTTGAGCACCGCAGCTGTCTGCTATCCACACACACTCGCGGATCTGAAATTGATTCCTACCCATCTCGACGAATTGCAGAAGCGTTTGCAAAATGTCGTAGCGGGGGTGTCAGATTTGATCAAGAGAGAAATGGTAAAGGAAATCAAGCTCCGACAAATTCATAATTTGCTTAGGATCAAAGTGCAGCCTTGGACAATGTGTTACTTAAAAGCTGGATCAAGGAGCGTGGCGAAAGAGAGACTCCTGCCGAGTGGGCGAAACGGACAAAGCAGCATTTTGATAACATTGGCCCATATGAGTAAGTGCGCAGCAACAAACTTTCAATATCAAGAAAATTCTCAATAACCTAAGAAAAAGACACCAGCTTGTTTTTACGCCTTGTCAAGGGCTTTCGAATAATCTATGAACCATCCCGATTGGAGCTTTTGCTGGGTTTTTTGGGGTGTTTTGGGGGGTCTTTTGGGGGGGTTCGATACATAAACTATAAGTTAACTACACTTATTATACTTATGTTTTTGCTTGCTATTGGCTGTAGCAAGTATTGAACAACCATTACGGCACGAAAAAAATAAATTTTTTTATATTTTAATTTTAAAAAAAAAATTTTTTTTTTTTTTTTTTTTTTTTTTTTTTTTATTTTTTTTTTTTTTTTTTTTTTTTTTTTTTTTTTTTTTTTTTTTTTTTTTTTTTTTAAGTGGGAAACTGGTTAGTTTTGTCGGTTTTGCTTGCTGCCAATGGATAACAATCGATCAAACTAATTTTTTGTTGGTTTCTACCACGAAATCTATTTAAAAAGTGTGAACTAGCTTTCCATTTACAATACCTGCGATTTGACAACTTTTTAGACACCAAATCTTCCTGAAAGCAAAATTTTTGATAGAATTTTCATTTCCACGCTCAAGGCTGGCAAAACGCTGCCATTTTGGGCAAAACGGTTTCCCAATGAGTTATTTGTGTAGGACATAGCATTAAAATCAGTTAATGGTGTCATTCCGAAAATATCAGACCGTAAATAACCGCAATCCTGAGTTATAGCCCGCCGGCAACAGTAGTTTTCGAGATACAGGAAAAATCAACTTTTTTATCCGTTTTTCATAAGGTTTTCGTCGGAATCGACCCCTCGGATATTAAGTGAAAATGAAGCAGCAAGCCTTCTTCACCCCTAAAATTTTTTTCCTGATAGAAATTATGGTACAATTCGGATAAGCGGGGGGGGGATATTAGGCGGGGGGGAACCGAACTTTTTCCCGCCCAAGCCTATATTTTTTATATAAATAGTGGAAGTGCTTCTAAATTGTTTATAGCTATTCCTAAACATAAAAACTTTACAAAACTTCATTAAAAAATTTAATTTTAGGTCGAAAAATCGTTTTTTTTTCGGCCAAAAATGACCAAATTTTCGACTTTTTCAAGCGTTTTTCTAATTTTTTCAAAAGTTTTTCCGATCCAAATAGGCTTAAATTTTGCTGAAAACGAGGTGAAAACACTTTATATTTGATTACTATCCCTACCAGGGCCGACAAAAAAAAGTTGGTTTCCCCCGCCTAAAATCCCCCCGCTTATCCGTATTGTACCGAAATTATTTAAATAACCGTTGATTTCAACCTTTTTTTAGCGCAAAGTCACCCCCGATAATAAGCGAAATTAGGGATTCGCAGCCGGAAGTCGATGCAAATCGATGCAAATCGATGCAAAGTCAGAAAAGATAGCCGAAAAACTGTTAAGAATCGCGTAAAAATAGTATTTTGGCGATAACTCGAAAAATACCGTAACGAACGGGCTATCCCTGAGGATTGTGGTTATTTAGGGTCTGATACATCGTTGCGCAAAGTATGGGACCGAATTAATGTAATACGGCGAAATCCCGGATGGGTGCTGTTTTTTGGGGACAACCTCTATAGCTTGCGTCCACACCTTGTCAATTTAGTTCAAATACAACCTACATCGTGGCCAGAATGGGAGACAATGAGACTGACTCATCGGGAGGTCTATATAATAAACTCCAAACCGTACCCCTGCAACATGAACATGATGGATGGAAGATCGTCCTTTGGCGAAACCCGAAAACAAAATGGGGCACCCAGGAGGAAACAGGCTTTGACACATTGACGACGAACTTGACGTAAGTGACACTAACAAGGGAAGGAAATGTGGAATTTCGAAAACGCTTGTGGCTACCCCGGGTTATCGAATACGGGCGGTGTAGTAAGTGGAGCCAACACTGAATTCAGGATTGGAACGGAAGGAAAACCAAATGTTAGCGAATTGGCTCGAATTTTTCCAAACTATTTCGTCGAATGGCATAGCCTCGATAATGAGTTTTCGGGCAACGTTGCGATTCTGGAACCAGGTATATTTAAGTCTACGGTTCTCGCTGGTCTACGAAAAGGTTGTATTTCGCCGTGGGGCTGTAGGGGTTGGAACGTACTGGACCATCAGCAGCCCCAGGCCATCACCATACTTTGAATCAGGCTTTTATTTTAGGCAATAACATCCTGGGAAGCTATGACCTCACCACCCATCAGCGCCTACATTTCCGGAAGGACGCAGATAACAGCTCCAATATCCTATATAGCTTCGTTGTCTTAAATGTATCTGGGTGAGCATAAAATGCTTAAAGACCATCAGAAGTCTGGAACGCACACTGTCACCCTTAGAGCGGAAATGCAAATCAGAGACGCAGAAAGCAAGCGGTTAGAGCGCATTTTGGAGCACCGCGTGTTGTTCATATTATTCGTTACCAGGGTTGAAAAGCCCACGACACTTGCGCCCCGCAGTTTACTATGGAATCGGGGCGCGTGTCGGGGAGCAAGTGTCGCGGTCAGAACAGAAGGGGCGCCAGTGTCGGGGCGCAAATGATGTGGTACCGTGTGTATATGCCACTTTGCATGCAACTTCCGTCAGCGTGTCCGGAGGATATCTTAAGAGGGGAGGGGTGTAAGGAGGTGTTGGCATGTCATTAGATGCATAATAGGCTGGAGATGACTGCAAGCATATCCGATTTTGTAAAATGTGTTGTGTTCGACATTAAAATTAAATTTTACGTAAAAACACTTGAACACATCTAAACAACTTTTCGCAAATTCAAATATGTAGATCTTCGGATTTGAATGACCAAATTTTGTGAAAATTTTGATATAGGATTTGAATAACCTGACATGCGCTCGTTCTAAATCTTAATGAAGACCATTCTAGTGCATATTACCTGCTTACATTTGACCACACATTGCATATCATAATGACCTTCCGTTTCCGTAGGGATCCTTTAAAACGCAGTTTTTGGGGTTATGACAATTGCCATTATTTTGCGATGCCTTCGCGCCTTGGTCTATTCCTCCTCATCACCGTGCTTGGCCAGATTCCCTGTCATGCCCGCGACGAGAAGTACGTTACATGTATCGCTTGCACCAATATCGCGGATCACCGTTCGTGGGAATTGATCAGGCTGGACAGGTGGGCTCATTGTTTATTTTTCGGTACGCTGGTTTTTTGCTAAAAAGGCATAGTAAACCAAAAAGGTAGCCCGTGATCTGCACATTCCTACTATCAGGTTGGTTTGGTAGATGTGTTGTCACAAATTTTTGAAATCGCTCCAAAGAGCCGCAGACACGGCCGATTTTAAGTTAGATATCTGATTCTATAAGCCGCACTATAATGGGAGCACACACATAGGGCCGAAAAGCTACCTGACGCCGAGTTACAACTCCGATAAATTTTTCATAAAATCTTGAAAAAGTTATTTAGCGAGCTATCTCTGCAGGTCAGGGTGATCTTTGCATAAGGTTAGAGTCTAGTTTACCCCCCCCCCCCAGCCAGCATTTGCCCCCAAGTCATCCGATTAACGCGCGAAGCATCTTAAAATCTTCCCCCTCTTCAAACACTCTATTTACATATAGTTTTTTAACGAAAATAAAGAAAGAAAAATAAATAAAGCTTAAACAAAGGTTTGTTGGTCTTATAGGGAAAGCCATCCCTTTCCTCGTCGTAAGCGTCGCAAGGGGGCGCCCCGTTGCCCTGTCCCGGCAACACTATAGTTGCGCTGCAACCATAAATCTACTATATCTAAATTTCTAATGTCCGTACGCCCGCCAACCGGGAATTCAGCCAAATTTTGCATTCAAATTCAAAATTCAAATTGTGCGGGTGGGAGAAGGCCAGCGCTGAACACCCGCGTAGAGGGGGGTCAGCGCTGGTTTCTTCTAAAATTTTTATTTTTATTTTTCTTTTAAAAAAAGTTTATTGAAATGGAGTATTCGACGAGGGAAACATTTTGAGATACTTCACGCATTAATTGGACCAGTTGGGAGCGAATGCTGGCTGGGGGGGGGGCAATCGTTAGAAGTTGAGATCATTAAAATTGGACGCTGGAAGACTGAGATACGGGTCCTTGAAATTTGGTGGGGCTAAAGCCTAGTTTACCCCCGCGCCATAACTTTGTAGCCATGCGTCCTATTAATCATTAATATTATTCCTACCTTATAAATTTTTGGCGTGTAATCGTGTGTGTGTGTGTGTGTGTGTGTGTGGATGTCACTTTCGTGGCCCGATTTTGGGCCCTTCCCGTGCATAAAACGCTTTGATTCGTCGCCACTTGGCGGAATCGACCCTTCTGTTTCAGCGTTTTCAGAATTTTCAAAGAAAAATACAAGTTGACAAAGTTAAAGCCGGTTTTATTCATTTTTGGAGGTACCTGAGCGCTATGGCATCATGCGAAAAAAAAACAAAATTTCCTCGTTCTTGCCAGTTGCACTCGCGAGTGTGGTCGGGTGGGAGAGGGGGTGGAGGAGTCCGCAGGCCCTAGCTATCAGAAAGTCAAACTTTTCATGCAAAGGCCGCATCGACAAGCCGAGAAGCGGGTGGGCGATGGTTAATAATAATATTAATAATTACGTATCTCAGAAAAGTAAGAGTCTATAAAACCCCCGCCTCCCAGCCGGCACCAATTTTTGTATCTCGCCCCCCCCACTCCCGCCTAGGGAAACCCCCCAGCGGATTTTTCAACTTTTCTACCTTCCTTATTTTTATTTTTCGCTATTTCGACTCAAAGGCAATGTATCTCGGCTACGTTTCATTTTACCCCCCACCCCAGCCCAGCTCCTCAGCCATAAGTTTTATTAATGTGCCGCGTATCTCAAAATGTTCGCCGTGGTCGAAAACCTAGAAAAAGTTGCTTACTTGCGCCAAAAATTGTTAGAAAAATCTTGGTGCTTCAAGGTTAACGGGGGGGAGGCGGTTATTTTAGCGGGGGGCGGTTGGGAACTTGTTTCATAATCTCGTGTGGATCGATTATTTCAAGTTTACCGTTTTCATAGACTTGTACGCCGTTTCAAATGGTTCTAGACCGTTTGCGGGGGTGGGTGGAGAAATTTAGCAAAATATTATAAAAAATTGTTGAAAATTTTTGCTTTTTATCTAACGTGTATGAAAATTGTTGAAAACATACAAAAACCCCAGATTTTGTGGCTGTAGTATCAATGTTTGTACAATTTTTGGTTATCGGAAGCTACTAAAAACATTATCGAAATCAACTACAATTTATCATTAGGCAGGTATAGGCTAAACCAAGAAAAGTTGGCAACCGCCCCCCGTTAACCTGGAAATACCATATTTTCATTTTTTGATGTTTTTTTTGCCTCAACCCTACTAGAAGCGAATTCTAGAGCAAGTGCTACATTTTGGTACCATTGACAGCTCTGTAGGACTAAAGATAGCCAAGATACGAAAACTCACTTTGGACCTGCAAAATTTAACTAAAGAAAACTCAGACTAATAATTGGTAGGAAAAAATTTCTAACAATTTTTGGTGTAGGAAAACAAATTTTTTTTATACTAATCTGACCACGGCGAACATTTTGAGATACTCGGCGCATTAATAGGACCTATCGCTGAGGAGCCAGCGGACCAGCGGGGGAGAGTCGCGAAGCGATGTTTCTGCGGCTTTCTAGGGCCATTTCAAAAAATTGTGACAGGACTTATCTACCAACCTGATATATAAAAAAATGCGGTTCTTTGTGTGTATGCGTGTGAGCGATAACTAACTCAAGCGGATAACTGCACTCAAGTCCCCTTTCCTTCATGCACGCATTTTCAGCCGCGGTATTCTTCGGCAGATGATGCCACATCAGGAATTTCCCCACCCAGTGCACAGCAAACAATGCTCGACTTCCTTGGTGAGGAGCTTTAGTAGCAAAGCGCTTACGCTAAAGCGCAAAGCGCTTTCACAGTAGCGGTGGGAAGACAAGCGTTCGGGCATGTGTCTAACAAGGGAACCTCAAGTTGGCACGGAGGAGTTATGAAAAACGCTCGCGGCTACCCCTAGGTTTTCGACTATGGCGATTCCAACGGTCTAGTCAGAATTCGCTAAATAGGCCTCTGGACAGAGATACACCACTTCCGGAAAAATAACACTTTGCATACGAGATTTGCATTACGCCTGTGTGGTTTAAGAGGCCCTCTCAAGAGAGTGGATTCAGCAGCGACTGGCCGAGTGGTAAAAGGGAATGGGTAGTAGGTGGACGGTCCCGGGTTCGGAGCCCGTGCCGGTACCCACTTTTGCTTTTTGCTTATTTCCTGTTTTTGCCGGGGGTTAATATACAACACTACACTACACGTTCTAACTATTTATCTTTGCGATTGAATGAGTACTGTGCTTTTGAAATATACGAAGTGGTTAACATGTTTTATTCAGCGATTCAACAACGATGATATGCTACGATAAAATGATCGAAGCAGAAACATTTCTCACAATACGGGCACTTAACGAAAGCGTGGGAGGTGCAAGGGAGCTCATCACAAGTAGCGAAAGGCCCAACATTAAAACAATAGTCCGAGGGGGTGGGAACATTAGTGGGGGGCAAATTTAGGTACCCAGACGATATCCACGCACCTTGCCAACAAGGTTGGAATCTAGGGGCTCGGAAGACATAATAAACCTGTGAGATTAATTTTATAATATTATCGCGCGTTTGGATTGAGAATGGCAGGCCAAAAATAATCACATGATTGGTGAGTTTCTTCACAAAATTTTTGAAAGGACAAAAGAAGAAGCGGTCGCATGGCTGGATTAGCGAAGTTGCCCCGGGAGGAATGATGGCGATCTCCAGAGTTTGGCCTGGTGGAACTTGAGCTTGTATTGAGGCGTCGTCGCTGAATGGCTTCCACGAGTCGCAGAGGAGGGTGAGATCATCCGGCGTGCTTGGCCCATGAACATAGTCGCGCAGCCATTCGAGCATCAGGTTTTTCGTCATAATGTGCGAAGTGGAGGCTCTGAAAACGTATTTTTTTTAGTCTTTCCGATGAAGCTACCGTAGCATCAAGTTATCCGCTTGAAAGGGCGGGCGGCCGGCAGGGAAGGCACCGTTTTTTTCTGGCATCACCACCAGCAGCTGGTCTCCTAGTGTGCCACTCGCGAACATCAACGGCATAATTGTGATGCTGTGCTTCGTGGCGTTGGCGGATTGAACCAGTCGCACAACTTTTTTCTCGCCTTTGAAGGCCAGAGATCGGGCGCCGTGTAGCTCCTTTTGAATGCCCGACTGATCGGCGTTAGCCAGGCAATTCAATGTAAGGGTTCCAGCGTTGATCCTGTCTCTGATCTTCTTCACAAGTTCGCTGGCTTCCTGACCGATCTTGTCCTGGGAGCGGTGATTCCGGACAGTCGAGAAGGTAGTAATCTTCCTTGACACGAGTCCGGCATACTTCTTGAATCCCAATATCCAGCTGGCCGAGGCGGTAAAATTTGGGATCCGTGTGTCGTCGCGGTTGATGCGCAGCGCCATAGTCTTCAGTTCCAGATCGTGTAGAGTGTGACCTGAAATTAAAAACATTAAATGCTTGTTGGGCGTAGACTCACCAGCCTCGAGATGTGCACGGCATTGTTCTTTCAGTGTTTCGCGAAGATTGCGTCGGGCGTCAAAGAGCGAATAGGCCATCATCGTTTTCTGGTACTCGTGAAGACGGTCAATGTGGCTGGCTTTCTTTATCCATTTGAACCTATTCGACATGGCCGTCAGAGTACGGGTCCCTTTAGCCACGCCGTGGTAGTGCTTCAGAGCCGCTTGCAAGCTACAAATAAGGGTTTAAAAGGCCGTTTGCGACAGACGCGAACAAGGCTTGGCACAGTTTTTTTCGACCCTGTTTTTTGACGCCATCTGAAAGAGCATGGTTGAATCAGTAGGGTGGCATATTTTTGAAAGTTTAAAAAGTTTAATTTTGGGGTTAAAATGGGCCTCAAAGTTGCCGACACCGAAAAAATATCTCGAGAACTACTTGACAGAATCTTCTGAAAATTTGTGTCAATACCTAATTTGGTGTGGGGATCATTTCTCTAATACATCGCGAAGCTCGAAAATGCCAGGAACATAGGTGTATTGCGTACACAAAACAGTTTTTCCGTTCTGTCCGGAACTGGGCGATCGGGCGGCTCTGTTGATTACTGTAGAAACATGCGCAAGAAAATTCTGCATCGAATGGTGTATCAAACTAGAGCCGCCCGATCGCCCAGGTCGCGCTATAAAGCATTTACTAGGCAAAAATTGCTCCAAAAGAGGCCCCGAAACCTTATAAAATTCAAAATACGGTGTTTTGAGGAATCATATTGCATCTAGAGACCAAGCGGAAGCATTTGCAAAAAAGAGCAAAAAGAAACTTCGTTTCTTTCGATGTCGCGGAATCGAACCCGGACCCTCCGCCTGGGAGCCCTGTGGCGCAGTGAGTAGAGCGTCGGCGTGCCAATCCAGAGTCGGCGCCGGTTCAATCCCAGCCCCCTCTCAGAAGCCGAATTTCTTTTTTGCTATTTTTTGCAATGGCTTCAGCATGATGACTACATGCAAACTAATGCCTCAGATTTCGTTATTTTGAATTTTATAACCCTTTTTTTATAACCAACCCTTGCGCATGTTTCTACAGTAATCAACAGAGCCGCCCGATCGCCCAGTTCCGGACAGAACGGAAAAACTGTTTTGTGTACGCAATACACCTATGTTCCTGGCATTTTCGAGCTTCGCGATGTATTAGAGAAATGATCCCCACACCAAATTAGGTATTGACACAAATTTTCAGAAGATTCTGTCAAGTAGTTCTCGAGATATTTTTTCGGTGTCGGCAACTTTGAGGCCCATTTTAACCCCAAAATTAAACTTTTTAAACTTTCAAAAATATGCCACCCTACTGATTCAACCATGCTCTTTCAGATGGCGTCAAAAAAACAGGGTCGAAAAAAACTGTGCCAAGCTATAATGGGGCTTGGTCGGATCCCTCACAAACGGCCTTTTTAATCCATAGCCATGACGAACCTGATCTTCCGAAATATTACGACCTCCAATTTTCTTCCCGAGCTTGGGAGCAATGCGACTTGGGGAGGGCAGAAGGTCTTCCTCTCCAGTCCAATTCGGGTCGACTTCATCAGCTTCGCTCCAGATGAGCGTTTCGTCTTCTTCAATGACATCGATCGACGAATTTTGGACGTCACGCAACGCTTGCGCAAATGCTTGCTTCAGCTTCATCTCCTTGCGGGTCATCGGGATCTTGTCAGCCGTCGTGCCAAATTCAACGGCCAAGGCAGCGATGATGCGAGCGGCTGACATGTTGCAAAAAAACAATAAGCAATAAACAGACACTCATGATAATGTTGCTGTTCGTATGCAAAGATAAATAATTAGAACGTGTAGTGTAGAGTTGTATATTAACCCCCGGCAAAAACAGGAAATAAGCAAAAAGCAAAAGTGGGTACGGGCACGGGCTCCGAACCCGGGACCGTCCACCTACTACCCATTCCCTTTTACCACTCGGCCAGTCGCTGCTGAATCCACTCTCTTGAGAGGGCCTCTTAAACCACACAGGCGTAATGCAAATCTCGTATGCAAAGTGTTATTTTTCCGGAAGTGGTGTATCTCTGTCCAGAGGCCTATTTAGCGAATTCTGACTAGACCGTTGGAATCGCCATAGTCGAAAACCTAGGGGTAGCCGCGAGCATTTTTCATAACTCCTCCGTGCCAACTTGAGGTTCCCTTGTAAGTTATTCCCATGTCCATACAGGGGATGCATAGATAGTAGTAAAAAGCGCGTGAATATCCGAAAATCAGAAAAAAACTGCCAATTGGGCCAAAAGGCTTCCTGCTTTTATTAGTTCTTTAAATTCAAGTAAAACTCCATTATGCAAATATAACAGCAAGATTTCTGAAACCGAAAACCAAGGGCTGCGTATTACACGATTTCCGGCGGAATTCTCCCCAGCTTTTGTTTGGTCATAGATAGTTTCCAGATACGCAGATTATAAGAAAACCTATAGGCGATAATTTATTATTATAATTATTATGGCTTTTTGTTTTCGTAGCTGTCTCGCAACGCTTTCTATTCCCGTCCTTTTTATGATATAGTAGGCCCACTGACCCGGGACAAGTTAAATGCGACCCATTTTTGCACCAAGGCAAAAAATTGCACTATTGAATTTATTATGATTTGAAAATAATTGCTTTCAAAGTTACCCAAAAAGGGCGGGAAACTAAAGTAAAATATCTACACACGCCGACCTACGTTTTTCGTGTTTTTCGCCCCCACCAAGAGTCGCCCCCTTCTTTACCTTAACAAAGTTCTTTGCGGACTAAATGAAATTTATGTTTTATGAATTTTATGAAATAAATGAATTAATGAAATAAGCATAGATTTAAGCAATTTTTGCAACGCAAAATTACCCCAAATCTTAAACGAAATTTGGGACTCGCAGCCGGAAGTAGATGCAAATCGATGCAAAGTCCAAGAAGAGCGGAAAAACTGTTGAGAATTGCGGGAAAAACAGTAACGTTTTCGTTATAACTTTAGAACCGCTGTAGGCATGCGGTTATGACTCTTCGCTGGGGGGTAAATGGCACTTCAGCCCCGGTCCCATGATTGGGGTAAAGTCACTACCCCGAAAAGCCATTACCCCGAAAAGTCACTACCCCGAATTAATTTGCAAATTGAATCCGAATGAAAACTGGATTTTTCCTGAAAAAACGATGCTATGATTTTTCGGGGTAAACGATTTCGGGGTAGTGACTTTTCGGGGTATAACCGGACGCCCCCATGATTGTATCGGGCACTAATTAACAACAATCTTACTTATAACTCCCCAACACACGGTTATACGGCAAAATTCCATTAGACCAGCGGGGCAGGAGCCCCGCTGAATGGATGGCTGGTGAATCGGCGTATTTCCAAATCAGGCTACCCAGATGACGTCATTCTTTAAGCTCTTTGTACCAAATAATACACCCTTTTGACCAAAATACACGAAAATCTATCTATCTATCTAGCTATCTATCGCTATCGAATGGTGTGGCAAAAATCCGGAGAAAACAGCGAAAATATTGAAAAAATGGATTTAATCCTCCCTCCTCCCGTCTAAAAATCCCCTCACCGCCTTACCGACAATTAGAGCAACTGTTATTTTAGGCTGTTACTCGTTGCGAAAGAAGCTATCGTTGTGCCCAGCTGCATCTCGAATATGAAGACGGAAAAGTGTTGCATGTGAAGGGATGTGTCGATTATCCTATGGCACAATGGCAGGACGGCGCCTACAACTTTACCGACGAGAAAGGAGGTATTTTCGCTGGCTAAATAGGCGTTGGCGGGTAAGCAAATCCAAAAAAAAAATAATTTAGCGGTTGGCTGGTTCTACGGCTGCAATTCGACCGACTTTTGCAACCATGAGGGGGTGAAATGGCTCAAGGCCGAGGTCAAGAAGGCTGAACATCTGAAGGCCGAAGAAGCCGAGAAGCAGCGCAAAGCGGAAGAAGCCGAAAAGCAAAAGAATTCTTACCCGAATACCCTCGCCTTCCCCATCACCGCATTCCTTATGGTCATTCACTTCCGACTTTTCATGTAAATTCAACTACCGATAAAACCTTGGTGTTTCTCCCATGGATGGTTTTGTGCAGGGTTGGTCATTTTGGTACCCGGATACTACCCTACCCGTACCCGTACCCACGAAATTAGCATACGGCGGGTAGGTACGGGTACTACCCGTACCCGTACCCCGACATTTGCATAAGTTCTGCGGGTACGGGTTCATACCCGGGTACGGGTACGGGTATGTACCCTGGTACCCTGGGGTATTTCCGGTTTTCGATGCAAAGCTGGATTTTGGATGCAAAATAACGAATTCTCAGTTAGCTATCATATCCCAGCCGTGATTTGCATTTAGAACCGATAATAGGACCCAGGTTTGCATCCAAAATTCAGCTTGGCATCGAAAACCGAAAATACCCTGGGTACCAGGGTACCCGTACCCGGATATGTACCCGTACCCGCAGAACTTATGCAAATGTCGGGGTACGGGTACGGGTAGTACCCCGGTGGTACCCGTACCTACCCGCCGTATGCTAATTTCGAGGGTGCGGGTACGGGTACAACCCGGGGTACCGAAAACGGGTACGGGTATGGGGTACGGGTATTCAAATGACCAACCCTGGTTTTGTGTCCGCCACAACTGGCCTACCGCAATCCGATCAGAAAACCCCAGGTTGGCACGGTGGAATCTCGAAAAACGCTCGCGGCTACCCCGGGTACGGTAGCGTGCAAAAAAAAAATGGTCCCAAGCCGCGAAAAAGCCGTTTAGTAGCTTCAATATCGAATTTTAAAAAAACACATACGCTCCAATCAGCTACTACTTTTCCCCCGGATTTAGCCTGCGGCACGAGAGTCTGGGGCAAGAAACCATCCATGGCCTGCCGCGCCAGAGCCAACGTTGCTCAAGAATCTTTGAGCCTAGTTACTGCTTTTTCTCCGGGATTTGGCCTGCGGCGCGAGAGCCCGGGCCAAGGACCTTTCCTTTGGCCTGCAGCGCTAGAGTGAGGGCCAGGCCTAAATCTCGCATACGGAGAGCCAAGCAATATGTTTGTTTGATGAATTACCAAAATGCAAAAAGTTGTCATAGCGGCGGATCCGAACCCTTGATCCCTAGCACCGTGGGCGTGATGCGAATCCATCACGCCACAGGAATGCGATGCGGGACAGGCCTCTTCCTACCCTTGGGGACCTGCCCGGGCGCCGTCGAGTCACTTTACAAAAGTAGATTTTTGAGGTGGAAGATGATCGAATTTGTAAAATCTAATAAGATGCACCTAAGAAGCACCATCGATTACATAAGTGGTCCAAGTTTAGCCCGAAATTCCATTTGCGCTTCGAGTGATGCCCCGGACACCACGGCTATACCCCCATTTTGTTAAGGAGTTTTTAGAAAAATGCGCATAAAAACTTTATTTTACGAAATGTGACAAAACGCAGAATTATACAGGGTGTCCCAAAAAAGACCCCCCAAAAATTTGAGCCAGATGGGACCTACGGAGCTGAAAATTTGCACAGAGGTAGCGAAGCCAATTTTCTATGAACAAGGAAGGTTACAGCCCGATCGGCCGACGGGTTTTAGAGTTATAGCGAAAATACTTTTCATTTTTAATTTAATACCAGGGTTGAAAAGTCGCGAAGCGTCTAACCGCTTGCCGGTCAGAATCTCGAATTACAAAATCTCGAATGACAAAATCTCGAATGACAAAATCTCGAATGATTAGAATCTCGAATGAACAAAACTTCGATCCAGCAGAACACAGTTTGGATAAAAATTTCCACTAACGGCCTAGTAATTGAACCCAAAGTTTTTCTATAGAGGCTTTGGTAATCAATAGCGGTAGCAACACTATCTAAAAGTTAAAGACAACGAATTTGAGCTCTTTGCGTCGAAAGAACAAATTTTTAGACTTAACGCTAATGTTCTACATTATCATTTGTAATGGATGATGCTCAAAAAGGACCATCCCTCGGCAGGGGCTACTCACAGCCTACTAGCTTCTATCTAAGACAAAAAATCTATGCTGGATCGAACTAGACGAAACTAGATTAGGATAGCAGTGGGTATCCTGGCAGTCGAGATTTGTTCATTCGAGATTTTGACCATTCGAGATTTTGTCATTCGAGATTCTGTCATTCGAGATTTTGTAAATTCGAGATTCTGATCGTTCGAGATTCTAATCATTCGAGATTTTGTCATTCGACATTCTGTTCATTCGAGATTCTAATCATTCGAGATTTTGTCATTCGAGATTCTGTCATTCGAGATTTTGTCATTCGAAATTCTGTTCATTCGAGATTCTAATCATTCGAGATTTTGTCATTCGAAATTCTGTTCATTCGAGATTCTAATCATTCGAGATTTTGTCATTCGAGATTCTGTCATTCGAGATTTTGTAATTCGAGATTCTGACCGGCAAGCGGTTAGACGCTTCGCGACTTTTCAACCCTGGTATTAAATTAAAAATGAAAAGTATTTTCGCTATAACTCTAAAACCCGTCGGCCGATCGGGCTGTAACTTTCCTTGTTCATAGAAAATTGGCTTCGCTACCTCTGTGCAAATTTTCAGCTCCGTAGGTCCCCTCTGGCTCAAATTCTTGGGGGGGGGGGTCTTTTTTTTTGGGACACCCTGTATATCGGGAGAATAGTATTTCCCATCTACCCTCCAAAAATTAGCGCCCAATTCGGGCTGGCAATCGAGATATTCTCTGAACAAACCTTTTTTCGGCCGAGATGTTAAGGATTTTTCACTATTTTGCTTGTAAAATCGTTAAATGAAGGAATTTAGAAACCTCCATGCCAAAAATCAGCTCAAAATTCGGCCTGACGGCAGAGAAATCGGCTGGAAATAGCTTGGGCCGCCGCGGCGGGCGCCCCCCCCCCCCGGGGCCCCCCCTGCGGAAATTCTAAAGAGCGTTTTTTTGCCGTCAGGGCTCGTAAATTCATGATTTGGCTAGAAGCCCGATGGTAAGTCTCATGGACGGGTAAGAGTATTTGTTGAATGCCCATGGTTCACCCCCCTCCCCTGCCCACGCCCACCGTGTCCCAAACCATTGGGTCTCGTTGTAATTTGCATATTAGTAGCTCGAAAGTCATAAGTCTCTTTTTATTCGCGTTTATGGGAAGAGGGCGAGCAAAAACCGGGCCCCAGTGCCATTGTTGAAAAAAATTCCACCGGTCATCGCCTCGGTACCGCCAAGTTTGACCGGCTTTTCAGTGCCTGAAAAGTCTTATAGAGTGCCGATCAATTAATCAGGAAATACGGCATGGTGTTACTTTAAAAGCAACTCCGTCCCTAGGGGTTTCCAACTGCGCTCCTGCAGTTTCGGACATCCATTCCGTGGCAAGGGAGATTCGCTTCCGAGAAAACATCGACCCCAAGTAAAATTCATAGAAACTGTGCTAAGAAAGGAACTCTCCGACCATAATGAGTAGTAACTAGCCTACTTTCGAAATTTGATCAATTGAAGCGTATGCTAAATTTCTAACTTGATTTTCTTTGTCTATTCCGGAGGCCGAAACGTTCTAGCTTTTCACTTTTGGGGTGTTCGCGTCATTCCTTACCCGTCACTTTCAGAAATTTTCCCCGGGGAACTGAACGGATCCCTTTTTAGCTTCTCCGGTAATTGCCCCATGCCTACCCGGTTCCAAAGCAACTGCCTCGAACTCGTTCGGCAGTGTTCCGTTTACTTTCACTGCGATCCAGTGTTTGACGTAATCGTTGGTGAGGGAAAAGCCAGCTCGCTGGCTCGTGTAGGCATCCAGGTAATTTTTTGGCTGCTTCGACCGGAATATTGCGTCAAATCTGCAAAGCTATTGGTATATATGAAACAGGCAGACCATCTTCCAAAATTTCGTAAAATCATCTGAATATTTACTTTTGATTTTCTGCAGTATAACGTTTCCAAATCTAAGCAAAGGACCAAGGACCTGGTTAAAGTGCACGTTCAGGGAGGGGCCGTATACTCGTCCCAACCTATAGACTCTATGTACGTAGGGACCGCGCGCACGGCCTGCCCGTGCCGTGGCAGGTCATTCCCCTCCTTTCCGGCGTGAGGCGCCCTTTGACCCCTCGCCAGGTTGCACCTGTGGCTGACTGGTATGCTTCCGCGCCTCCCGAATGGGGGGCCCCAGGTTCGACCCCCGGCCACGGTAAAAGATGGTTGCTTTTTACCCGAAAACGTCCCTGAACGTGCCCTAAAGTCAACCACTCCAAAGATCAACCAGCTATCGATATTGTTTTTGGTCTTGATGCTGGTAACTAGACCGGTTGCGAATTTGTTACTGGACTGTCATCGGAAATGAACAAGGAGGGGAAGTTACACAGTTGCTAGTAATAAAGAACTCCTGAACAATCTCAAGAATTTTTATTTTTGGATCACAAAGCGCAAACGCATGAAAAAAAGACCCAAAAAAAGGTAAAAGTCTTCGAATTTTCAAACATGTTAAAATATTTTTTGCCGCTTCTAGCAATCAAAATCTGCCTTTGCAAAAAATATACTATATAGTATCAATAAGCAAAAAAAACAAAAAATTTTTGCGTCTTCCCCGCTAAACCCCCCTCCACCCACTAACAGTCCAGTACCGCAGATTCAAAAAGCCAGAACCCGTTTTTCGTGGAAAAAAACAAGATTTTGCGACCCTGTGTGCAAATAACGTACTGCTCCAAGACCGGCATTTTCCGTGTGATGGAGATGGCCGCTTTGTGGAAGTCGGTATTTTCGGCGAGGCTTGGCGACCGGTCGGTGTAGCGAATTGTCATGATTAGCGTGGTGTACGTGTTGTTCTGGCTATGAAGCATGTGGGAACCACATGTGGCTTGTGGGCAAGAAGTGTAGAGGTCTTGCTTGTCTGCTCTAACAGCAATGTAAGTTCGTTCCATCCTAAAATAAATTGCGCGATGGTGTTTGTGCCTTGGGATTTTGAGCCTAACTGGAAAATCCTGGGCAAATTTTGGAAGCTTTATCGAACAGCAGCTAAAAAAATGTTTAATTAGGAAAATGTTTAAAAGTCACATCTAGCAGCCCTATGTCCAT